TTCAGAACGCCTAGCAGATTTCAGTATTTTTAATATGGTGGAAAATTTAAATATACAAGTAACCTTTTAATTATAAATACGACAATGTTCGTTCATCATGTAAATGTTCGATGTCTACATAACCAAATCAAACTGTATTAAAAATGTGCTCAACTAAAAAAAATTATATACAAATTTACGATACCGAGTTTGAGCAATCGTTGATGTTATTTATGTACTCGCAAGTTGTGATCAACACTAGACCATACTGGTATACACAACTACGCTTTCTACTTGACAGGTTTAAATTGCTGAAAAGATTGGAAATATTTGCCTGAAATGACGGTGTTGTCAAAACATTCTTAGTCGGAGACTCGGCATAATATTCAAGCTTCTAGATAGCATTTAATATGGCTATATATTTTAGTAAACACGAGTCATATTTAGCCCGTTATTCCATTCTGACCGTATGGCAGCGAAACGTAGCCTAAGGCTTCATTGTCCCGACAGCATTTAAGCCTGGTTCACACTAGTCGTAAGTCATCTGCGATCTTTTGTATTCTTTTCCGACAGACAAAGAATTTTACACACCAATGACAACAGACAATGGAAATCCCCGATTCTTACAACCAGTGTGAACCCAGGCTTAAAGCAAAACTAATGACTTAATTATAAATGCAAAGGAAAAATTTCCATAACATTTTCCATTTACAAATGAGGTATGCTTGGTAACCAGGCCAGGGACCACTTTTTGGAAATCAGGGACCATTTTACCGAAATCTGCTAGGCTCCCTCGCTGAAGCGTTCCGCACAGCACACCCAGGCATAAAACTTTTAAGACTTATTTAAATATATCAAAGCAGCGAATAGAGTGAGCCTGGGACTAGGCTGGTTAATCCCATAGATTCTTATATACATGCACTAGATAGCTCATCTCTTTTAGTAAAATTGAAGCCAAAAATATTCCAGCGGTTACCCCCATTTGAATAGATGGCTGTCATGTGGAGTTTCCCACTCGCTAATATACGTTTAAAAAACAACAATAACTTTCATCATTTGAATAGTTTGGAAATGTATTTGGAATAGGTTTAACTTAATATTTAAGTTCCCTGTTTAAGAAATAGAAAACATACGAGTCTTCTCATTTCATGGGAATATCCCGAGTCTGCAATCACGGCTTCAACTTTTGAATTGCAGAATAATTAGATGCACTATCTAGTGTATACAAGATATCTATGGTTAATTCGACGTTTACGGCAAACTTGAAGTCGTATTTTGGGGTCACCAGTTATAGTTGTTCGAAAAATCTGTGCCGACTAAATTTGAAGCGTGAATTAGCTAAAAACTTGCCTAAACCTTCGAAAACTTGTAGAACTTACCTTCATATGCATGCGATTTAAAGTTTGGCGTTTGCTTGATCTCTATTAACTGACAGGGAACAGAAATTTTAGGTACAGATCGCTCTTCTGGAAATTGAGACTCAGATACAAACAGTGGCATTACTATGAATGTTTAAGCGTGAATTAGCTAAAAACTTGCCTAAACCTTCGAAAACTTGTAGAACTTACCTTCATATATGCATGCGATTTAAAGTTTGGCGTTTGCTTGATCTCTATTAACTAACAGGGAACAGAAATTTTAGGTACAGATCGCTCTTCTGGAAATTGAGACTCAGATACAAACAGTGGCATTACTATGAATGTTTAATAATCAGTACATTGTATTACAGCAACTTTATGTGACTATTTAATGAATATACATAAACAATATAAGAGCTAAAATTAATTGGCCAGCAATCACAAGCAAAATGTAGTCAAAACCTCTATATAAATTATATCAAAAATACACAAATAGAATAATTAGTAATCAAACTTTGACTATAATTGTTACATAGTTGCATAATAGTAAGATTTATTAAAATATAATCAATTTCATTGCTTATCGTTATAATATATTGCAACGTGTGTCAGCAGAAATGTTTATGCATTTTGTAGAATTTGTCGAGCTCTTTGATTTGCAGTTCCGATACGAACGTCGTTTGATTCAGCCTAAAGTCAACGAGAATGCAAATATATATTAGCTTATCAATGAAAACTATACGCTAATATAGTTCAGACTGGGGACTGATGATCTATTAAGTACTGTTTAATAAACGAGCAGGAGTGTTTTATTAGGTTTAAAGACACGAGCGCGCAGCGCGAGTGGCTTTAGACCTAATAAAACACGACCTGCGAGTGTATTAAACGGCTTCAAACACGACTACAAATTCAATAGATATACTGCCTTATTAGTATTCTTTATATAAAGAATACTAATTAGGAGTGTTTTATCAGGTTTAAAGCCACTGCACGTGACATATTATGGTTGACATGATTTGCCAATAAGCTTATGAATTATTAATGAGTGTTTGAAGCTTGGTCTCCATCTGGTTGTAACTGTCGCGAATGTGTCGCCAACGTGTCGTGAAGTGTTTGTGGTGAATGATTTTTATGCTGTTCCCATATGGTTGTAACTGTCGCGAACGTGTCGCGAACGTGTCGCGAACGTGTCGCGAACGTGTCGTGAAGTGTTTGTCGTGAAGTGTTTGTCGTGAAGTGTTTGTCGTGAATGATTTTTATGCCGTGTTTCCATATGGTTGTAATTGTCGTGACATTGTCGCAAGTTAATTGGTACCCTGGGATCGTACAAGCAGCTGGTGGCAGTTCTAAAAAGAAGACCTTTGTCCCCTCTCCCCCTCTGGCAGGAACCCCCAAGAGATTGCGGTGCAGCAACTCTGGCCACTGAGCTGCAGAACCCAGGTACCCAGCATAAACCACAATATATACTGGTGATACCAGTGTAAGATATATGGGTATAAATATCAAGATTTTTGGGCGTCTAGCTCTATCAAGCTGAATATTGATGTGTTTTAGTAGATGGAAATTTAAGGTGAAAATTATCTACTTAAGGGTCATTCCACATTTCCGCAGTCACGGATATTACAGCCAGAGATTATATTGCAAAGTGTTCCTTTCTACTCTATATACTTAAAAAAATTATTATAATTTCATGTATTATTAGGCTGTACCTAGACTAACACCTTGTGATACAAAGCAAATAGATCTGCAATAGATCTGTATATGCTTAATAAATGGTTACGGACATTACAGGCACAGCTAAAACTACCACCCAATTCAATACATAATTTTAAATCTTAATTTCTGTGAATCTCGTGTTTCGGACTCATGTTTCGAAATGCTATGTTACAGATATTACGTAAATGTTACGGACACAATGTGCGTGGTATACATGCTTAATGATAGTCAAAAATCTCTTGATATTGCACGAAACATATATTTTGCTAGTGTTCTACAGACTAGGATTAATATGTGTTGATATATCACTGCCAGGACGGAAGAGCAAACTACAGTATGGCTTCTTAATGAGCTGCACAGAAATTTCAACGTCCGGATTCAGGATTTAAAGCCAACTTTTATTCTATGTAGAAAGAATTGTATAGAACCCCAGGAGAAAGGGTGTGGCCCAAATGTAAGACACGTTTTGTTTATTTCGACTAACTCGTAGTTTTTCATACATGACATAACTTGTTACATATTTATTCGTTTCAAAATAAGTGATTTTCTTACTTCTCATATGTAAATGCTGGAGGAGGGGTTAGGGTTTACGATATGCCCCTAAGAACATTATTGTACTCATGTAATGTTGATATACCTGTATCAGTATTGTATTTATATGAATCATGACTATGACTACAAACTTTGCACTAAAAAAGTATTTGACACAGACATGAATATCACTTTTTCAATGTTATACAAGAACTTTATGATGGCAAAGAGAAGACCTAGGTATAAAGCGACGCAAAAAATTGAATAATAATCATTCAAGTTAACTGTTAAATTGGAGTCAAACTTTGACTTTGACCAATAAACTAATAAAGTTGAAGTGCATAAGTTTTCAGTTTTCAGGGAATGTGCAAAACGATTTCAAAATCCGGCCATGAGTCCAAATCCAATCAACATGTAGCCTGCGTACCAGGCGTTTAGTGCGGGTGGGAGAAGAGAGGCCTTTCTTCTTCCGCACGCACTAAACGCCTGCTACGCAGGCTAATCAACATGATGATCCGCATGGCCGAACTTGGACAAAGAAAGTCTATTTGTCCTGACCAATGGTCTGTGTACTACTCCTGTTTGCCGGGCTAGCCTGGTACATAACTAGGGATCCAAGGATAGTGCAGAGTTTCAAAGACCGACGCTATAAGACATGCTTATAAATTGAATAGCTTTGCAAGCGTGGTTTATAGTCTTAATCACATGTTGCAGTAGCTGGCGGAACTGTTACAACAGTAAAAAGGCTAAGATCTGGTTTAAATATACTAATATAACTAATATAATACTTTACGGATGAAGAATAACGAGAGTTACGTAATATTATTTATTTCCTCATATAATATTATAGTGACAAGGCTTAATTTCTGTTATTTTGTAAAGTTTGAAATTGAAAGACACCGCAATAATTATATAGGATCGCCGACAAACCTAGAAAAGCTGATAGGTTACACCACGAAATAAACAGTTACCATAGGCATTTTACTCATCTATTGTTTTTTATCGGCACACGAATAACCCCACGTTTGAAACATGCCTAACACATCAGAAATGGAACTGACACAATTTATGTTGTGGTAAGTATCCCCACAAGGCTACTGATATGCTAAACTTATTTAAATCTATGATTATTGCCAATGCCATTATCATTTTAGCGCCCATATTGTAAATTTGACTGTTGTCCCAGTCACAACTTTAGTGAAATAGCTGTATAAGATATGTTCTGAATAATAAGCACTACAACGTTGCATTCCATTACAAAAAAAACATAAATCTAAAACACGGAAACGTAAAAAAGAGGCGATTTTATCCAAATCCGATTTTATCCAAATCCGTTTCGGAATTTAACTCCATACCTGTTCCGTGGATCCGCTCCGTTTCGCCTCCGCTTCCGCATTTTAACCTAATTGTGACATGTGACATGTCACAATAACAAGCTCACTGACCTTTGAGTTATTTTGAAGTTCACGTTGTGTTCATGCATGATTCACTTTCAGCTTTTCGCATGCAATCAATATTTCAATGGTTTCACAGTTATAGCAGTGTTTATAGCAGTTCTGACAAGTTTTGATACAGATAAATTCTCGTAAGATAGAGTTCTCGTTGCACTGAACACGAGTTTGCACCATTGTGCTATATAGACACGTACAGTAAACCAAGTTTTTCTCAATACTGTATTTATGTCCGAAATGTTTATACATTTGAAAACAACACAAACTGATATCGGCAGTTGAATTTCCGTAAATCTGAATGCATAAGTCATAACGTCAATTTATATATTGCGTAGTATCTCAAAGATTTTCTCAATAATATATAATACACGTCTGAAATGTTTATACGGTTGAAAACAACACTGCTTAGCTCTGCACAATGAATATAATGTCAAACTGATATCGGCAGTTGAATTCCCGTAAATCTGAATGCATAACATCAATTCATATATTGCGTAGTATCTCAAAGATTTTCTCAATAATATATAATACACGTCTGAAATGTTTATACGGTTGAAAACAACACTGCTAGCTCTGCACATTAATATAACGTCAAACTGATATCGGCAGTTGAATTCCCGTAAATCTGAATGCATATAACATCAATTCATATATTGCGTATAGTATCTCAAAGATTTTCTCAATAATATATAATACACGTCTGAAATGTTTATACGGTTGAAAACAACACTGCTAGCTCTGCACAATGAATATACCGTCAAACTAATATCGGCAGTTGAATGCCCGTAAATGCGTAATGCATAACATCAATATATATTGCATAGTAGGCTACGCGATCTCAAAGATTTTCTCAATATAATACACGTCTGAAATGTTTATACATTTTGAAAACAACACAGTGTCTCGCTGCAGAGGTCTCGCTGCTTCCTAGCTCTGTATAATGAATATACCCTCAAACTAATATCGGTACTTAATTGAATGCCTGTAATGCATAACATCGATTTATACATTGCGTAGAGTCTCAAAGATTTTCCTCAATATATTAATACACATCTGAAATGTTTATACATTTCAAAACAACACTTGTCTCGCTGCCTCCTAGCTTTGTATAACGAATATACCGTCAAAATACTATCGGTATTTAATTGAATGCCCGTAATGCATAACATCAATCTATATATTGCGTAGATTCTCAAAGATTTACTCAATATTCACATCTAAAATGTTTATAATTTGAAAACAAAACTGTGTCGCTCCAGCGCTCGTTCTTTAGCATCGTCTCGCCATCGTGATCTACGGCTTGATAGCGCATGCGCATTTGCGTTCATAAAGAAAAAATGGGTTTTCCGGGGGAAAGATCCTTCACACAACATGAGAAGCGAATGTTATAAAATTTACGAAAATTTACAATAACGATAACGATTTCTCGAAATTTTTGTGAACTTGGTAAAAAGGCAAACAAATATTTAAATAAAACAACTGTAATTGCCTAAATGACCTTCAAAGCACAATAAATCACGACAAACATAAATCGTATACACATAATACACCCCCCGGAAAGTTAACACTATGACTGACTGACTGACTGACTGACTGATGTGAATTTTCCCACTCATCACAATAGTGCACAGTTTCAAAGAAACTCTGCACTAAAAACAGTCCCCAAGACAAATGATTCGTGATGTGCCATGACGGATTATCCATGATGGAAATCGGGACACCTACATTGTATTGTCACTAACATTTGTAAGCAGAGTTCTATATAATTTTGACCTGGAATCCCCCCAGCAGAGGGTCTATAAAAGACATATTATACCGATAATTAGAAGCCTCCAAGTTGAGAATTTAAAACTTGCCACATACTTTCGTGAATATGATGGGTTTTTTTTTTAATAAAATCAATAAATACATTGACGTACGGCGCGATTCGATGATAAATTTCATGCTCACGTGGCACAAACTTGGCTTTCTGATTGGACACTTTGAATTTGAGGTATAATATAAGCTAACGACCAACGTCTCAATCGTGAAAACGAGGCTCTACAGCAAAGATGACGTACTTTCCGGAAGCGTATATTGATCAATTGACCTCAACAATGTTACGCATATACCTAATACGGTAGTATATTCTAAGTAATAACTTTCTTTGTATGTATAACAGATTAGTAAGATATTGTGTTTTGTTGTTGCAAGAATGAGGGAGAAATTCTTCAAATTAATGTGGAAAAATAATGGGCCATAAATGATGCCGTGATTTATGATTTCCACCATCATTGCCGCTGCATCGCGTTAACCTTTTGTTTTTACGCATGATTTTGGTTATTTGGTTGTGCTAACAACCCCGGTTGATCTCTACTTTAGCCGTGGTGGTGCTGGGGGACAAATCTGAATTTGCGCTGATATCATATAAATATGTAATATTATTACATTGAGTAATATGTAATTGACATGCGTTGTTTTTAATTCGTTTGTAATTATGTAAGTTTTGTTAATTTTACGCAATTCAGCCAGTTAGCCTGCCATGTAAATCTTCCTCGTCACCTCGTGCAGAGCAATCAGTAAACGGCCATATTGGCGTTTCGCTCGGAAAATGGCCGATGGCCAGGATGCATGCATGGTCGACTCTTACATTGAACATCGAATGCAGTTTGCAAGTCACAAAACAATCGAAAATATATATCACCAAAATATCATCAAATATAACATTACCTTTGCATTTATTCTATCAATCTGGCGATTCTGTGTGTCAATTTCTTTCCCCATATCCACAGCCATGGATTTCAAATTGCCGACAATGTCACTTACTTGACTAAAACAAAAGTATCAAATTTATTTTAATACTTTTTTAATACTATTTTTTAAAGTGCGTATTTTCTGAACAATCGGTTTTACACAACAGGAAATACAGATAATCCTACCGATTCCGATTGTCTACATAAGGCAAAAATCGTTCCGATATCGGTCAATCAGTAGTTGTAACAAGGTTGTTGTCAAGCAGACAACAAGACGTTCGCACTGTTTGTTTCCAATTGTTGTAACAAGTTTGGAACAAGTTGTTGTATCACCTTGTTACAAGGTTGATGACGGTAACAGACTTGCTACAAGTTGTTCCAACAATTCTTACGCAGGCCGTTCGTATCAAGTTGCTAGAAGCTTGTTGTCATGAACTTGTTAACAAATTGTTACGTGCAAACGAAATCAGACTTGTTGGAACAACTTGTTGCGCTTTCTTTGCCTCATCAACCTTGTTTCAAGATGGTAACAGTCTGTGAACAAACTCAGTGTGAAAACCTGGGAAGAAATAGTGCGAACACATCTTGTTCATAAGCTGTGAGATTATTAGTCGTGTAATGGAGAGTTTTCTACGTTCTAAGCCCGACTATAACAAGGCAATGACATATTCACTCGCCAGTGACGGACACTTCGCGAAATATTGAGGGGGGGGGGGCAATATAGGTGGTTGCCACCACATTTTTCCTTTCTTTTGTTGCTAAAAGTCTCAGTTTTCTAAATTTTTTCGTCTTCAGTTTCATGCAAATTGTCCTAATTTCTTTCCAATGCCCTTCAATGCTTTGATAGTTGTAAATTATTGTTACAGTTTTAGTAGGAAGTGTTTCAGCTACCATTTAAAGGCTTGCAGAAATTATTGAGGCACTGCCCCCCCCCCCCATAAGTCTCGCGTTCTTCAACTTACCCCAAATTTTCGTCCATTTCATCTTCTCTTGCGTCATTGGTAATTCTAGCAAAAAATACGACATGTACATTACTTTATTATATAAACATAAGTGTTATATAGACTTTTTGGCCACTGAGAAAAATCGTATTTAATTAAACACACGTAAAAAATACGATATTTTTACGTGTGAAAATATCATTTGTTGTAAAACGCATTGTCACGGACGTTTTATTGTTTTACACTGAATTTTGTTTAATATAATAAACAGAAAAATACATGGGTGCTTGGAAATACCAGATTTATTTCTCGTTTTGAACATGATATCTCACTCGTTCGCTGCGCTCACTCGTGAGATATCATGTTCAACACTCGAAATAAATCTGGTATTTCCGCGCACCCATGTATTATTCTCTATATATCATTCAGAATATTGTACGTCCAAACTATAACTTCATGTCACAAGCAATTCACTCACTTGCCGAATGACTCAAAGAGTCAAAGGACAGAAACTAGTCATTGGTTACTAGTACGCATGTGGTAGAGTAAGTGGAGTAGGCTAACTGGCCTTACTTACAGCTGAGAGCCAAGTTGAATTACGAAGAACGCAACTTAACCTGATCGAGTCGAAGGCTTTCTAAGGGCAACTCTGGCAGCACGTTATGACTCATGTCTGATCATGGAGCACATCTGCGCGGTCAGTTTGGCGCTTATCCCAGAGACGGATTTTCATATTTTCATTCGGGGGGGGGGGGTGAATAAATGTCTGGGGGGGTGCTGCTGCTTGCTTTGGCCGGGGCGTGGTAGCCAAGGAAAAGGTTTAACAAAATCTGTTTTCTAGGCCTGCATGGCGACATCTGAGACCATAATATTGATAATTTTACAAATTTAGTAGTAAGACTAATCAAATATGAAACTATCAAATCAAAATAGATATAATTTGCGGGGGTGCAAAAACTTTTGGGGATGGTGCCAAATGCCTCTGGGGGTCCACCCCTATCCCAGAAAATCCGTGCCTGGCTTATCCCAACTCACCCTGTCAACATTCCCTGTGAGAGGGATCCGGAGTATTCGGAGAAAACCCAAGACTTTCGGTAGAGCATTGACCGACTCTTTTCACACAAGTGTCATGAATTCGCAGCGAGAATCAAACTCACAATCTCAGTATTCTCAGAACGAAAAGGCAAATTCCAAAATAACTTTCCTTTGTTTTTTGCTCCAAAAATTCTAATGACATTATATCCTGAAACTTTGACAGTGAAAAAGTTGATCAAGATGAGGTTTTTTACCATGAAGATATATTACATTAATACTTCTTAGAATGATATACAAGTATTAACACATTACGTTGCATTGTGCCCTACTTTATTACTTTACTTTATTACTTTACGCCTGACGATTTTGCTCGTCAAAGGGAAAGCACTGGCGTCCATTGGGTTAAACAGACCAAAAATCGTATTTGGGGCTAGACTGGTTAGTGTTAACAAACTTGAACAGTAACTTAGGTGGGGTTAGGTAGGTTAGTGTTATTAATTTTACTAGCTTTCGGCTGTCAGTCTGTAGCCTTCAACGGGTAAGTTATAATGAGTATTGTGAGTATTGAAGGATGAAAGCTCTTTCATGGTAGAGGAAAATTAATAAGTATTTTGAATCAGAGAGCGTTCAAAAATTTAAGAGGCAATTTTTTTTCAATGTGGTGTATTTGCGATGAAAAGTGTTCAAAACCTAAAATCTTTTTGGCGTTCCTCTCAAAATTAATTTGTTTTAGCTTTATTTTGTAGTTTACACAGTTAGCGACCTTTTTAAATGTATCTGGCGGTTGAGGAACACAAAATAATAGTTAAATATTGTCAATTTAAATACAATTATCATTGATGCTGTAAAAATGACGCCATATTTATACATAATACAGCAATGTATAAGCAAAACTTAAATAAACTTCAGACATCATTTTCTCTTTCCATCTGAAATCTCTTCACTTTACAGATAAAGCACTAAACATAATTTTTAGGTTGTTTGCCGTTTCAGAAACGTATCAAAAATTTGAATATAGTCATAACGAAGTGGAAAAGTATATAGGCTATACATATATAGTTTTGAGCGCGTATTACGTAACATACAAAACATTCTATACTCTGAAGCCGGTTTTCCATTAAGCGGAATTTTGCGCGCGGAGCGGAATTTTTCTTTGTTTTGTGATTCCTCAGGTGGAACTAATTAGAAAAGACAAAGAAAGATTCCGCTCCGCGCGCAAAATTCCGCCTAGTGGAAAACCGGCTTAAATAGTACCTTTCTACATAGCCTGCTGATTGTCCACCGCCTTTCTGTCTGCCATTCTCATTTGAACCTTAATAAAATAACATACACGTCAGTTTTTCGCCATAACTAACTCATAAATGTGCAGGGGGGGGGGTGTGTAAAAAAGGTAATCCATCTTTGAGAGGTTATTGTCCGTTGATTATCACGGTTAAAGGTCTTCTATTTTCGTATTTATAAAGATCAGGCTTTTAGGGGCGGACCATTAGAAATCCCGGGAGGGGGGGGGGGGGGAGGCGTGAAAATTCCCCCAAAAAAATTCGTGCAAAGTGCAAATAGTCTTGAAAAAAATTCTTGCAGAGGTTAAATGCATAAAAAAAATCCTGCAGAGACATGACTGAAAAAAAATCGTGCCGCAAAAATTTTATACCCCCCCTCCCGGGATTTCTAATGGTCCGCCCCTTAGCTGTCATTCGACACCTTTATGGAATGATTGCGTTAAAAAATGACCAAATGCGATCTGATTTAAAGTGATCGGTTGAATTCGCATTTTTCCAGCTTTTTCGAACGTTAAGTTTGCCCAAATGTTTGTTGGCCATTTGGAAAACGTATGCCATTTTGAGTCCAGTCTGTAAGCTTCTAGTGTTCTACTCAGACAATAGCTTCACATGCAATTCCCAACGGTGGAAAAATGTGATTTCGACCGCCATTTTTAAACCTGATCTTATTTGGCTATTTTCTATCGCAATGATACAAGGTATCATTCGTGTGGTGATTATAGGGTTGGGCGATATTTCGATATTTTGATTTATCGCGATATTTTCAATCACGATTATCGTATCAAAGGTAGAAACTTGAGCGACGATATATCGAAATTATCGTCATGCTCGTTGACTATCGTGATATTGCTTCGCATGTGTATATAGCTTTTATAAAATCCTAAAAAATTCCTTAAATTCCTAGAAAATATAGTTTTTAAACAAATTAAAACTATTTCCTGAGTTAATACGAATTTAATACGATACAAAAGCTAATATTTATGTATTAACCCGCTGACCAATGAAATTGCAGGCTTTGCTTGCGCTGTGTATACCCACAGCATTTGTGCCTGCGGAGACACAGTAGGCACTGCATGGACAGTTCTGGTTTATGAACAGTAAATATTAGACTAGAAAAAGCCTTCTTATTACTTTAATTTGTTGTTTTACTTGCTTTTAATAAGATTATATAAGCTTCCTATGCTTGGATATTAATTAAAATTCAAAAATGTGGTCATTGTTTTTATCGCGATATTATCGAATTCGAATATCGTGATAATTTCCTCGACAATAATCGTGAGACGATTTTTGTGGCTAGCCCGTTTGCGGGCTAGCCATTATCACATAGTACACAAACGCGATGAGCGATGATGATCATGGTGTCCAGTCCGGATTTTCGTAAAGTATCGGGAGCAATCGGAAGCGCCCGTATTTTTCTGCCGACATTTCACATTTGCATTTCGAGGCAATACTAGTGATGTTGTTAGTTTGTTACGACGCAGTACTGGTGAGGTTGTTAAACCAGAAAATTAAAATAAAGTTTATCTTCATGGCTTCAACCTATGGTGGCGAAACCGATCAGAAATTGCGCGTACTTGCCGTGCAAATATGGGTTTTGATTTACTTTTGACTGATTTGCGGGCCATTTGCCATCTTGAATTGTCTTCTTGTTGAGATTTCATATCTCAATTGCATTCGAAATGTTTGGTATTTTAAAGAAGGGGTATTGTTTGGAGGAGGTACGTTTATAATGCAGCGAATAAAACCAGCATTGGATAATTATGGTAAAAGACCAGAAACTGTACATCGAACTCGTTTATTTAAAGACTTTAAGTATTGTATACCTTTTCTGTATTGTATACCTTTTCTTCAGACATTGACGGCGTCTCGAATGTCTACATATTTGTAATAAACCTATAAAGGATTATTGCGTCTGTCTGTCTTAGGAATTATATAGTGGAATAATTCAGCATGATTTGTCACACGTTCTCTTATAAGTTGACTAATATTGCATTAAAAGTGGTAAAAGTTGGTGTGCTAACCAAGATTTCAGTGTATTTGTTTGCTAATATTGCTAGGCCTATATCTCAAACGCTATTTGCCTATTAAAATATCATATGACACGCAATTTTAATTCCACGGCAAAACTGCTGTTGCGCAAATAACAAACGCGAGATTAAATAAATATGGCAGTATTACAGTTTAGTAATATTGCATTAAAAGTGGTAAAAGTTGGTTTGCTAACCAAGATTTCAGTGTATTTGTTTGTTAATGTTGCTATATCTCAAACGCTATTTGCCTATTAAAAATATCATATGACACGCAATTTTAATTCCACGGCAAAACTGCTGCTGCGCAAATAACAAACGCGAGATTAAATATATGGCAGTATTACAGTTTAGGTATCTTTTAAATTGCTAATAGATCACACGGAAACTTTTTACAATCGTTATATTCAAAAGCCTAGCGTGCAAATTCACATATTTGTGTTTATTCAAGTGTTATTCATGAATTCGCTATTTACATGGGAAGCGACGAGATATGACACGGTATTTTTCAAGTGTACCGTGAAACTCCACTGACAAAATGAGCCTGCACAAGTGGGAGAAAATTTGTGCATTCTGACCATCGTGGTGTGTCTTCTTATTACTATTAAAGTTAACCAGCATGGCAGGCTTTCTGGGTTTGGAGGAGGGTTTGGGGAGTTAAAGTTTACCAGGCTAGCCACATGTACGCATTGCGTACCTATTTTTTTAATATCGCCCAACCCTAGTGGTGATGTGATTATATGCATAAGGTCCATTGCCAAAAATCATGTTGATGACTATAACATATGTTTTACCAGGTTGTTTTGTGACAACTTGATCTTTTGAGCCAGGAGCATATGCTTTCTTGAAGGCATCTGACTTCTCAAAACTCTTGGATCTGAAATAAACACAATTATTAAAATTTCGCCACATAAGCACTTTAACTTCATTTTTACTTCTAAATATTTGAGTCAGCTTGGGATTTTTGAATGCGATGCCAAACAAAAGGTTAGATAATGCTCTACAAAGTTCTGTGGAAAGAATGAAACGAGAGAGAGAGAGCTGAAATATACTAAATTTGAACCAAGCTTAGCATCTCCAACTAATGAATTAAAGAAATAATTTGCTTTGTCTGTCCAGTAATTGTAAGTAATGTTCCAGGGGTCGGTTGTTCAAAGGTGGGTTAGCGCTAACCCTGGGTTATAATTTAACCTGCTCTTTTGGTTTGTGTATTTCTGCACGTCTGTTTATTTCAAAACTTCAGAAAAGTAAACTCCCATGATCCTGTCAAGATCTCTGAAGAAATATATAGACAAGCTGTCAGGACGTTTGCTTTCAATTTTAGGTTAACCTAGGGTTAGGCCAACCCAGCTTTGAACAACCGTCCCCAGATTGCTAAGTGATAGCCAAATGCCAGGGGACTGGGGTATACCCCTTCCCCCACAAATAAAACCCCCCATGAAATTTAGGGGAAAACGTCCACCCAACCCCAAAAACTTAAAATACCCCAATCTCGTTCCAGGCTCGTCCTATCCTTGAATCATATTCAAAACCATCCCCAGAAATATGAAAAACTAGTTTCATGATATTCGGACACTGCAGAGTATAACAGTAATAGAGACCTTAAGATTGACGTTTACGGCAAACGTCAAACCGCTAGCGAAGTTTTTGATTTTACAACTCTATTATTATAGCTTTTACAGCAGTTTTGAAATATGTTAAACTTATTAAACTTGTGCTCTTTAGCAATGATTTAAGAAAGCAAATTAACCACTAGTCATGCCATTCACCAAAGCAGTAAATTAAGATTTGGCGTTTGAAGTTGGCGTTTGGCGTATAAATTTCATGCTTTAACGACTACAAGCCCTCGTAGCAGTTCAAGCATGAAATTTATACGCCAAACGCCAACTTCAAACGCCAAATCTCAATTTACTGCTTTGGTGAATTGCATGACTATTGGTTAATTTGCTTTCTTAAATCATTGATAAAGAGCACAAGTTTAACAAGTTTAACATATTTCAGAACTGGTGTAAAAGCTATTATAATAGAGTTGTAAAATCAAAAACCTCGCTAGCGGTTTGACGTTTGCCGTAAACCTCAATCTTAAGGTCTCTAATGATATTGAAATACTGCGCGTCGTTCAAGACAAGCGTTAAGCCGCCGTAACGCTACGGCTAGCATTCTGTCAAAAATTCACAACGTTTGTTAGCATTGTGTTTAGACTACAACCATAGATATCTTATATACACTAGATAGCGCATCTCTTTTAGTAAAATTGAAACCAATAATATTCCAGCGGTTACCCCCATTTGAATAGATGGCGGCCATGTTGGTCGTTCCCACTTGCTAATAAACGCTTAAAAACAACAATAACTTTCATCATTTGAATAGTTTAAAAGCGTATTTGGAATAGGGTTAACTTAATGTTTAAGTTCCCTGTTTAAGAAATTGAAAACATACGAATCTTCTCATTTCATGGGAACGACCTGAGTCTGCAATCACGGCTTCAATTTTTGAATTGCAGAATAATTAGATGCACTATCTAGTGTATATAAGATATCTATGACTACAACGGAGTAGCTTGCCGTAGTCTACCAACTATGGACCACTACGCGGGGCACTTCGGATACTAATAATATACATAAAAACATTGCTGGATTGTGATTGGTTGACTTCAGTGCAATTAAACTCGAAGTAACAAACTGATCCGATTGTTGGAAAAAACAATGGGGTCTAAAATCAACCAATCAGCTTAAAGCAGTCGTCAGGTAACGGTCACAGATTCTTTTAAAACAAAACAAACATGGCGGCCGTGCTGCAGAAGTAAAAGTTGAGTTCGGGTGGAAAATATGGCATTTATCTAGACTATAGTACGACTTACATATTTGAGGGAAATTTTCAATAGTTTAAAACTACAATTGTCTCGAACATTTTTATGCATATTATAATAAGTAATGGAATGGTTTCTCTCATGAAATTTGGAAAAAACCAAGCACTCGTGAGTTTTCCAAAGACCTCAAATAACACTCGTCCTTCGGACTCGTGCTACTTTGATGCTCTTTGAAAAACCCACTCGTGCATGTTTTATCCAAATTGTACTCGAAACCATCCTATTACCTATACAAATCAATATGCGCTAGGGTGAATTTGCCGTGGCGAAATTGTCGCGAAAATATTCGCTAGCAATCCCTACTGACTTTCAATTTTTTGTAACCTGTTTCAAGTTACATCTGAAGATTTTAGTAATTACATTGACAGTAAGTTCAATTTAATTACTGCAAAGAATAAGATAGCCCAACCGCAAGCCGGCAAATAGGAGGGGAGTTATTGTACAATCTCAAATGCATTAATAATTCTCATGAGTAAATTAGCCAACCATATTACTTTATTTTGCTCACATGATAATACTGGATAACTGGTGAAGAATATTGATCCAGTCCTAGGACTGGATCGAAATTAATTCAGTCCTTGGACTAATTAATTAAGTAGTGATTTATTCGTGTGAGATGTCATTTGAAATCCTCCAATTCGGACTGGACCATTCTCGTACCCAGAGCCCTTAATCTATTTTAACGTGAAAATGTAACGAAAAAGGTAACGTGAACGTTGCCATTTTTAGCCAAAATGTAACTGTACAGAAAAGGCCGATTTAGACTACAAAACTTTTGCCTGAAACTGTCGCATGCAACCTGCTTACAACTTGAGTTGTACTGTGTAAATCAACATACAACTCACCTACGTTATCGCAGGTTACAGTACTAGTTAATTTTAGTAGATAGTATATTTGAACTTCCATGGCAGCATACACTGAATTGCAGAAGTTTTACATTATGATTAGATAGATCAAACGGACTGACGTGAAGCAGACCGAGGTAGACTTTGAGCTTACAAATGGCGCTTGAGCAGCCGCTATTAGTCCATACCTCATTAATGATCTGCCTCCAGACCTTGTGTGCCTAACCCACCCTGTTAACTTTCCCTGTGGGAGGAAACACGGAGTACCCGGAGAAAACCCACGACTTTCGGCAGAGCGTTGACTTACTCTTTTCACATTAGGACTGGGTTCCAGTCACAATGAGAAGTCCTCATTGAGATTCGAACCTGCGACCTTAGAGGTGAAAGGCAAGTGCGCTAACCACTTCGCCACCGAAGCCCCATCTTATCGAGGCTCTATCTTATTCTTTGCTATCTTATTCTTCGCCACCGAAGCCTCGTGGTGTACTAGTTTTTCATATTTCAATATTACTGTTAGTCTGTTATATTGATATTCTAAAAATGCATGGACTATCAGGGTTGGTAAGTTAGATGAATAATTAAGCCAAATCGTCATTTGTGCCGTTTAGAAAACAAAGACAATAAAAGGCCCAGTGTAACGGTGTTTGGCCTAATTATTCAGCAAACTTACCAACCCTGTGGACAGGGTGTATATCAAAACAAAGGTAACCCAACTTTGGTATGTTATCGTACATTATGTATTACGTTTATCCATTTACTTCTTTCATACCAATAAAGACCAGGCTTTTAGCTGTCGAATGCTACCTTTCTTGTATCATTGTCATAAAAAATAGCCAAATACGATCCGAGTTAAAAATGCCTGTCGAAATCGCACTTTCCACCGTTGGGAATTGCGTGTGAAGCCATTGTCTGTGTATTGAAATTATTCACATTTGGGATTCAAATTGAAGTCCCTTGAGCAAATATGACGAAACGCATGTGCAAGCATCACGTTTTGATAAACTTTTACTCGCAATTTTACATCGCTATATTGAGTGGCTAAAACACTTTACAACACTAGAAGCTTGCAGACTGGACTCACAATGGCATACTTTTCCAAATGGCCAACAAGCACGTGGGCAAATGTTCGAAAATTGGAAGAACATTTAAATCACAAAGGTGGAAAAATGCGAATTCAACTTATCACTTCAAATCAGATCGCATTTGGTCATTTTTTAACGCAATTAGCCATTCCGAAGTTGATGAGTGGACTGGGGACGAGTGTTAAAAAGTTCCCAAATTAAGAAATGAACCAAATCACTCATTCTCGTATCCAGACGCCTTCTTACGCGCGGTGCGACGAGGGGCTCTGGCCAAATCCATATCCGAACTGGCATCTGATTGGCTAGTTCTAACACCGGATATTGTTTCCTTACCATGTTTTTATGGTATCCGGTTATGGATTTGGCCAGAGCCCCTCGTCGCACCGCGCGTAAGAAGGGCTCTGGGTACAAGAATGCAAATCACTAAAAAGACCACCTCAAAATTAGTAAGTATACAAAGTTTGAAGACGTTTACATGAATATCCTTCGAATAATAAGCTTTCGAAAATCACGATACACAATTTTCGAAAGCTTATAATTCGAAGTGTATTCATGTAAACGTTTTCAAACTTTGTATACTTACTAATTTTGAGGTGGTCTGTTTAGTTATTTGGTCCATTTCTTAATTTGGGCACTTTTTAACACTCGTCCCCAGTCCTCTCATCAACTTCGGAATGGCTAATCATTCCATAAAGGTGTCATTCGACAGCTAAAAGCCTGTTCTTTATAAATGCGGAAAAAAACTGTTGACGTATTAATTGATGCACGATAACAAGTCAAAGTTGAATTACCTTTTTTTCTACACCCTGTATATGGAACAACCGCGACAGCTAGCCAAGAATGCAAGTGTAAATATCTGACCTACTCCCAGGACAAACACACAGTCCACAACATTTCTCTAGGTTTGTAAGATTTCTCTCAGCTTCTTTCATATCGACATTTATATCATCCAAAGTTTCTTCAATCCTGTCCAGCTGTTCTCCTTGCTCGTCAAGCATGACAAGAGTTCGAATGCCAACGTCTTGGGTCTACAGGTAAATAGAGACCTTAAGCCTGGCGCGCATGAGAGAAAGTTGCTGAGCCTCGCGTGGCAGCTAGCTCAGCTATGCATTTTCACCGCACACGTTGGGAAAACTACTCAACAACAACATAGTTGACAAAATCGTTTGCACTTTTTTCCATTTTGTTCAAGTCATAGCGACAACGGCCAGAATAAAATCATTCAAATAAACGATTGTAAAGAAAGTTTGTAGACTATTATTGATCGTATCAATTTAATAGTGTTTGGTTAGCTTGAAATAGTGGCTTTATTGTTGAGAAAGTTCCACTGTAGTATTGAGCTAATTTGCTGAGTATCACCAGGCTTAAAGCCTGGTTCACACTGGTCGTAATTCATCGGCGATCTATTGTATTCTTTTCCGACAGACAAAGCATTTTACACACCAATGATCACAGACAATGGCCTGGTACACACTGGTCGTAATTCATCGGCGATCTATTGTATTCTTTTCCGACAGACAAAGCATTTTACACACCAATGTCACAGACAATGGCCTGGTACACACTGGTCGTAATTCATCGGCTGCTTTTTTTTGTATTCTTTTTCAACAGACAAAGCATTTTACACACCAATGACCACAGACAATGGCCTGGTACACACTGGTCGTAATTCATCGGCGATCTATTGTATTCTTTTCCGACAGACAAAGCATTTTACACACCAACTACATTTCCATTGTCTGTGGTCATTGGTGTGTAAAATGCTTTGTCTGTCGGAAAAGAATACAATAGATCGCCGATGAATTTCGACCAGTGTGAACCAGACTTAAAACTCCCGTAGGATATTAATTATTCATTTTTTTCTTAAATATCATGGTCTCATTGTATGCGTAGCCATCGTCATCACTTTGCCGTCCCACATCGTAAGATCTCTAGTAATGTACACACGTAAAAACGCACAAGTTGTAACAAACCTGCAGCAGACTTGTAGCAATGCTGTTCCAACAACTTGTCAACAGGATGTGTTCGCATGCTGCTTGTTCCCAGCTTGTTGACAAGTTGTCAACGCTTGTTGACAACTTGCTACAAGGTTGTTGAGTTCAACAGACTTGTTACAAGTTGTTCCAACAACTTGTTATCGTCCTGCAATTCACTAACAACTTGTCAACAAGTTGCCAGTGACAAGCTTGTAGCAACTTGATAAAATAACAGCATTGTTAGAACTTGTTGAGAAGCTTGCTACAAGCCTATTGCGAACACATCTTGTTGACAAGTTGTGAGATTTTTACGCGTGTCATCGTCGTTAAACCGCTAACCGCAAACCGCGTTTTGCTGTCAGCCGTCTGCAGTTCGCCGTTCAACACATATTTTGGATTTACTGTGGTTTTCAATGCTTCGTAACTTTATAAATAATTTCAGGTATACAATAGAAGCAATGGCAGATGTACTTTTTGTACTTACATATTTGAGTGAAATTTTCAAGCCGTTAGCGTTTTCTAGTTCGAATACATGAAGCGGCATAAAAAAGCCACATGAAACATTAATCCTCAAATATATCGTAGATTTAAAGATATATCAAATAGGCTAAACTATAAAAACGTGAGATAATTCGCTCTCAAAGAAATAAAGCTTGCGAGAAATGACTTTGGTTGACAAGGTTAGCGTGGGTAAATAAACATTTTCTATCTATCTATACTGACGGGGAAAAATTGCTCCAGTCGTCAAAAACGAGTGAACGCAACTTCTTTAAAAAAACTAAAATTTAAATGTCTGTAATCAAGAAAGTGCTGTCGCAAACTTCACACTCAGATCGAGAAAAGTCAGAAAACGACTGAGCAACCATTGGCATTGAACAGTTGTTTAATTAAGACGCCCATCTATTTCGCTATTAATTTTAGTTTTAATATCCAGCCATGAATGGACCATTGGATAAAAATTTCATCACAGCTTGAAAGAGCATCACAAAATTAGTGAACAGGGGTGGAAAAAGTATCGGACCACAGGACCATTGGTGCCAGAAAATTTTTTGAGTTCCCAGAAAATATTTCCCCAAGAAAGAAAAATATAATTATAAAAATTTAGATAAAAGGATAAATTCAGAGGGAAAATTCTAACCAATAGAAAGAATGCTACCTGTACTGCAGGTATGACCTCAGAAATGCAAGTCCATCTTAATAGTACGAAATTAGTCGGATAATGTATAAATGTATAGATTATCGAATGATGTAACAAATGTTGTATGGCAAATGCATTTTTAGCCAATCTGAGACACCGGGTTTTCAAAACTTTTTGGAGGAGCATGCCCCAAGATCCAACCCCCCCCCCCCCCTTTTTGCATCTGTAAATTTACCTCAGGATCAGACCCCGGATGTTATCTGAATTAGTTCTGTCATATTCCTAAAAGTATTATTAAGATTATCAGTGCACTGTCACTGAAATTTTTTTTTCTGCGAAAATATAGCATGACATTCAGTTTGACAACTTGTTAGTATTATACAGTTACAGTGTCCAAGTGTAATTTTTTATTGCCCTTTGGCGATCCCAGGAAGTCAATACTTTTTCCACCCCTGTTAGTAATATTCCAAAGTTTCGTTGGGAAATGCTGTAAATACAGTATAGCCTTGCGAAGTTTGCCGTTTTTCAGTCATTTACAAACGGGAAATTACAAACGGGAAATTGACAGCCCCAAAGGGTATTGGGCTGTCAATTTCCCCCGCGTAATGCAAAATGACTGAAAAACGGTAAACTTCGCAACGCTATAAAAACCATGACCAGCCGACAATTTAAAAAAATAAAGTAAAAAACAAATTCCGAAAAGACAAGACATCTTGAGAATTCAATATATGATTCAAAACAACACGCAGGTTGAAACTGTAAATTTTCGACTTTATTTCAGAGTCATCTTCAGACAGAAAGTGTCACATATCAAACTTTCGCCCTATATGAATGAACATTTGCTCAAACTAGTGTCCAGTTGCTTAATGTGAAATTACAGACGCGCCATTTTAAGGCCCAGTGCAAAGGCGGTTTTCCAGTCCTCGCACGAAGCATTCTCGTACCCAGAGCCCTTCTTACGCGCGGTGCGATGAGGGGCTCTGGCCAAATCCATATTCCGAACTGGCATCTGATTGGCTAGTTCTAACACCGGATATTGTTTTCTTACCATGTTTTTATGGTATCCGGTTATGGATTTGGCCAGAGCCCCTCGTCGCACCGCGCGTAAGAAGGGCTCTGGGTACGAGAATGTGCACGAAGCTCCTCGCAACTCGCTGCGAGTGCTTGCATCTAATTAAAATTAACTCTTAAGCACATTGTGATTGGATGAAAGTGCTCATGCATCACTCGCAGCGAGCTGCGAGGAGCTTCGTGCGAAGACTGGAAATCCGCCTTAAGATTTATAGCTATGCTGAACTGGTTTTGTAATACCTTCTTTAAATAAAGTTCATTATTATTATTATTATTATTATTATTTTTATTATTATTATTATTATTATTATTTATTATTATGTTCGCAAATGGCTTGAGGTACCTATTTCTGGAACGCTGAGTAATATCTACCTAACCAGCAACAAATTTGGTCTTAACATCATCCCCCTATCAACTAAGTTTTTACAATGCCAAGTAACAATTCGGAATGCTTTAAAATCATCTCCTAATGAATCAATAATCCACCTCTGGAAATCAACAACTAATCATACTAATATTCAATACGACCAATACAGTTCGACGAAGGAAGTGATTAAGTCATTTCGTGATGATCAAGTAGATAAATTAACAAACCAACTGACATACCAAGGCTCATTCTTTACCAGTGTATCAAAATTTTCCCTAACCCAAGTAAATACGATCTGGCCAGCCTGTCAGTCCAAATTACCTAAAAACATTTTCAACTTTACCATTCGGTATATAAACAATTCGCTGCCAACCCGTAGGAACCTTCAAAGATGGGGGCTATCCTCGTCTTCTGAATGCTCGTTCTGCATTAATCCTGAATCTCTATTGCACGTCGTCGCTGGTTGCAGTTTCTACCTCGATCGATTTACTTGGAGACACGACTCAATTCTAAATTTCATCGCTAATAACCTTCCATCAGAACATATCCAGACCATTTATGCTGATTTGTCGTCACTCTCTAATCCTTCTACAATCACTGGTGATGATTATCGGCCTGATTTACTAATTTTGACGAAAGACAATTGTCTGTATATTCTGGAATTAACCGTTGGATATGAGACTAACCTCAGAAACAATGTTAACAGGAAATACTCCAAGTATAAAGATATGATTATGGAACAAAAGAAAAATTATCATGCGGTAAACTTCATCAACCTTTCGATTAGTGCACTTGGTGTGTTTGACAAAGAATCTTCTGGTTTTATAGACATGTTAGAACATTTTAATTTAGATAAAGCTCATGTAAGATACGTTATTAAAAAGATTATTAATATTGCAATAAGGTCAACCTACTACATTTTTTGTTGTCGAAATAAGAACTGGGTGAATCCGGACTTGATGAAACTTTAAAATTTTTATTGTATAAGTATGTATATAGAGTAATAGAGTAAATTTAATCGTGCGTTATAAAATCATTTAATAGTAATATATCAAGTTGCCAATTGTAAATTACATTATATAGTGAGATTTGCAGTTGTATACATTTTTAGACATGTTAGAAAGTATTGGTCTTGACAAAAACCACCAAATGTACTGCGTTAGGAAAATGATGACTATTGCTATTAGAACTACATATTACACTTTTTGTTGCCGAAATAAGGAATGGGAAAATCCGCATTTACTAACAATTTGACTTATCTCATTGTATATATATATATATATATATATATATATATATATATATATATATATATATATATATATATATATATATATATATATATATATATATATATATATATATATATATATATATATATATATATATATATATATATCTATATATATTGCATGCACCTTGTTGTGTTATTTTAGTTTAGTATAATTGTGATTCAAATAGCCAACCGTAAGTTACCTTTATGAGAGAGATTTACGATTGTATATGTATGTAAAGAAAAACATTTAATAAAGTTTCCATTATTATTATTATTATTATTATTATTATTATTATTATTATTATTATTATTATTATTATTATTATTATTATTATTATTATTATTATTATTATTATATGGCGGAGAGACCAAAGCCCACGCTTCGCAAGCATAAAATTCAACTATAATGAGGCAGAATAACTAAAAAGTACATTTTGCTAAACGTAAAATCATTACAATTGTTCAACGCTTATCTGGATTCTGGTATACAATATATAAAGACATATAAGGGAGATATTGAGTCTAAGACGTCCCTTCGCCATCTCCTACAGCCGAGATCAAGTGAATTATTAATGCGCTTGTAAACACAAGCAAAACCCACATCTTTGCGCACATTTTGCCCTTCCAAAATCGCCATAAATAAACATGAACTTGCTATCAAAATGCGCCAAATTTCACGAAGACGTCAAATATGGCGGTAACTGGAGTCAAAGACCTGCGCATAAGGTCCTAGTGCCAGTTTTCTTCAACAGAGACTGCGCGCAAGGCGAATTTCCTATATAAATCATAACAAATAGCGCATAATCAAACGAAAAGTGCCCTTCGAATAGCCTGCGTAGCAGGCGCTATTTAGGGGGGAGGGCGAGGGTTGGATGAAGCTAGGGGGTTATGCGAAGGCGAGAGAAAGAGAGCGAGGAAAAATGGGAGGGGCGAGAAAGAAATAGCTTCTTTCTCGCCCTTCCATTTTTCCTCGCTCTCTTTCTCTCGCCTTCGCATCCCCCCTAGCTTTTCCCACCCTCGCCCTCCCCCCTAAATAGCGCCTGCTACACAGGCTACCTTCGAATTAAGTATTATTTTCCCATAAAAGTACATTCAAAAGACGTCTAAAGGCTTATTCTTTCCTATACCGTAGGTAACTGAACACAGATATAATCGTAGAGCAAACGTAAGCGAAAAAAACATCAAATTTGGGGGTGATTTGTATAGGCAAAAGTTGGAAATATGATACGCGCAATACGACAAGACTTTTTGTTAACGCAAAGCATAAAAAAGTGTCAAATTTCTTCGTGTCAATTCTGGCGAATTTTTGCATGGCATTTGTTTTTCACTTTATTCGTAAAGCTATATTATCCGCATTTTACAACATTTCGCAACGAAACTTTGGAATATTACTAATTTTGTGATGCTCTTTCAAGCTGTGCTCTTTCATTTTGTGATGCTCTTTCAAGCATTTTTATCTATAGACTTGTTTAAATCAAAATTTAGTCTATAATGCAAATGGTCCATTGAAACGGTATACATTATTACCTCTTCAGCAGTACCCAAGATACGACGAGTGGCTTCCAGAGACTGAAAAAAAAGTGAAGTTGTTAATAAGTCGCACAAAAAGCAGCAATTGGCAAATAGAACTGGATGAAGTATGAAGAATCGTACCATATATTAAGCGGAGGGATCTAACAAATATATTTAAAGTGCTGTTACTTGTGACATCCGATGCTTCATAGATGCGATTGCAGAATTCGCGTACGGGTATACGCGAACGGGAATCTGTTCTGTGTCTGTGTCGACAGTGAATTTGTGAACAGAAACACGGGTCACACGGTCACAATCGCTATGTGCGAAAATTACTTCCGGGGAAACGCTACAATATTATTTACAATAGAATCTACGCGAAAACCTAGGTGAATTTTGGCAAAATACACTTCGGGAACTTTTAATGGGGAATAGTCCGCTATCCAAAAGGCAGAATAATTAAGATACACTTTTAGCCCGGTCCAAAGGGTGAGAGTCCATGAGAGATGACAAAGATGTGATAATATAGTATTAGGCCACTACAAGTTAATCTTTAGTTTCTGGTCCGCCGCCCGCGTCCTTTCTCCGTAAAGTATTATTTCAGGATCGTGACTAAAACACCACACGAGTACATACGAGTAACACACAAGTACATACGAGTACATACGAGTAACATACGAGTACATACGAGTAACATACGAGTACATACGAGTAACACACGAGTAACATACAAGTACACACGAGTAACATACGAGTACACACTAGTAACATACGAGTAAATACGAGTAAATACGAGTACATACGAGTAAAATACGAGTACATACGAGTAAAATATGAGAATTAGCACGCTTTCTTTAAAGTTTCTTTCACTTTCACACTTTCACTTTGGCTTCGTATTATGTTCATGTTGTAAATGCCTTATTGACATAGGCGTACGAGACAGGGGGCCGGGGGGGGGGGCAACTGCCCCCCAAAATTTTGGAAAACCATGGAAATTCGGGCAAACGCAAGGAAAAATCAAGAAAATTCGGGCAGATTTATGAGAAAATATGTTAAAATCAGGTTATTTCTTTAAAATTCTCCATAAAAATTCGGGCAAACTTTCAACTCTCCCCCCCAGAAAACATCAGCCCCGTTCTCCTATGTGTTTTGCAAATTTAATACGTCAATTGTACACCTGTTAATACGTTTTCAACAGGGAAGTATAAAATACTTAGGGTTCATTATTTATCGGTTGGGTGGGCGGGGGCTGGTAAAATAATGGGGGATATATTTTATGGGCGTAAAATAAAGAGTGGTTTAAATCTTTTGAAGAAGTGTTTTGGGGAGACAATAAAATTTTATAGCATTGATATAAAGAAGATAGTATAGAGATAGTGGCGTAGCCAGGGCAAAAGGCGTGCGCCATTTTAGGGGAGGTCTGGGGGCATACTCCCCAGAATATTTTGAAATCTAGGGTCCCTGAAATGCAATTTCCTGCATTTTCGGGGTGCGAGTTTGCATAAGTCCGAAAACTGTATAATGCATAAAAGACATGATTTTTCGTGATGGAAAATGATGGGTTAAAATAATGCGAATTACTTTTAAAACCGAATGATGATTGAAAGTAAATATATTTTACATTTAAAAACCCAAAGTAAACCCTTTCTTCTTGGGGCCATATCTACTTACTTAGACAAGATTATACACAATTATATTGTGGATTTAGATTTTATTTCGCACCCCCCCCTGTTGGCTAAATCCTGTCCAGCATCCCCAAGTTGAAGGTCCTCTCTACCCCCCTGGTTGTAAAGAGCACACAAAAGAATAGGATGGGAAGAACTACCATACGGCCATACTATGTTCTTCTTAACTTTATTGTTGGAGGGGGGTGAAAAATTTTCAGACTGTTCTAAAGGGGTGGACTACATTTTTAAACACATTAAAAGGGAGGGTCATTTTTATTATGTTGTTTGAATTTTAGAATCTAACAGCTCCTTCCCCCCTCCCCAACCGATAAATAATGAACCCTAAGTATTTTATATTTCCCGGTGTACAATTCACGTATTAAATTTGCAAAACACATAGACTACAGACGTATAAACAACATGGCAAACATGCACTTTCATGTACTACAAAAACTCTCTGACAGCCTGTGAGCAATATACTACATTTAAACCTTTTTAGAGTCTTAGAACATACAAATCTTTATTCTATATTAATGAATTACTTTTCTACGTCGTGCGAGGCTTCGAAATCCATCAATACGCATAGGAGAACGGGGCTGATGTTTTCTGGGGGGGGCAGTTGAAAGTTTGCCTGAATTTTTATGGAGAATTGTAAAGAAATAACCTGATTTTAACATATTTTCTCATAAATCTGCCCGAAGTTTCTTGATTTTTCCTAGCGTTTGCCCGAATTTCCATCGGTTTTCCAAAATTTTGGGGGGCAGTTGCCCCCCCCCCCCGTCCCCCCTGTCTCGTACGCCTATGTCAATAAGGCATTTACAACATGAACATAATAAGTGAAAGTGTGAAAGTGAAAGAAACTTTAAAGAAAGCGTGCTAATTCTCGTATTTTACTCGTATGTACTCGTATTTTACTCATATGTACTCGTATGTACTCGTATTTACTCGTATGTTACTCGTGTGTACTCGTATGTTACTCGTGTGTACTTGTATGTTACTCGTGTGTTACTCGTATGTACTCGTATGTTACTCGTATGTACTCGTGTGGTGTTTTAGTCACGATCTTATTTCAGGACTATTTTGTTGTTTACAATTACAGTAATTTCTAGTTCTTGAAAATTTTCGCGAAGGATTTAACTTATAGAACGATAAATATTTAATTTACACTAAAAAGACCTAGCAAAATGTAGTATTGAATGGTAAAAACCGCTGCCTTATCGAGATTACGAGGTAAAAAAACTAGAAATATTAATAGATCATTTCGATATGTAAAATCCTTTGTAATCTGTCATACATGTCGATTTATAAATCCAATAAATGCAATTAATGTAAAATTTCATAACATTTTGATACATTTAGCAATTGAAAAGGGACAAGAAAGACCACAAAAATGTGGGCAAAGCAACAATTGTAATTATGTCCTATACTATAGTCCTAACCACCCGCCCGCCCGCGTCGTAAACAAAGTTAAGGGCGGACCAGAAACTAAAGATTAATCTGTAGTGGCCTAAGATAGTTGCCAGTCACGCGATCTTGGTCAGGCTGGTTATAGCTGTTGTTAATGCTTTCCCAACAACACTATCATGTATTCTATATTTAAGTAAGTTAAAAAACATAGTTGGAATATTCTTCAAACCTTTATTTTGTTCATCTAGAGCTTGAAATGCCCCCCCTGGCCCTGGTGACAATTCATGACTGTATACCAACTATCATCAACCCTCATTTTTGTTTGACAGAGGCCAAAGCCTTTTGAAAATACATGTTTTTGTGCGTTTCTTAATATAAAAGCTTTTGTAGAGTGAATTTGCTTTTATAGTGCAGTTTAATTTTTATTTAATTAAAACAAAAAATATGACAGCTTTGAAATAACGGCAAGGGTCGCGCGAGACAAGGAAAATGAAACACTTCGCTGCCAGTCGTGTGTATCAAAGCAGTTTGCCAAATTAAAACTGCACCAGTGCGTTTCAGAGATTAAAGCTTCGCGAGAAGAAAGATAGTGTTCAATTCAAACGATTTCGTAGCAAAATACACCATATTTGCATTCTGCGCATGGAATCAGTAAGTTTATCCTAGTGATCTGTGCCGTCTGAGCTCGTTCGAGCTGACCGTTTGCGCAAGCTGACCGTTTGCGCTAATAGTCAACTAAAACCCAAGTTACCAAACATAGACGTTACATGATATATTTATGTTATGTTCTATTTGCCATTCATGGTACATTATATATTAATATATAGGTGTTTGCAGTGGAATCCTAGGCTCCTAGCTAATTCCGTGTCAGACTCACTATACTGTTATTTGATATGTGCTTGCGACCTACGAGTACAACTATGTACCTTCGTTTCTATCTCTAACAAAAATATGCGCACTTGGCAGAACATTTCCCCATCCAAAACACAATGTGTGTGAACCTGTAATATTTTTTCAGTCATTTCACGATCTAAGGATCGTGAAATGACTGAAATATTACAGGTTTACACACTTGATACCTAGCGAAATTCGTAGCCACTGAATAGCGTACCACGGCAAATTCGGAAGAACTCGATTACAGAATACGCCGTTACAGTCTATGGAGTATGGGTTGGTTTGTTTTATAACTTTCGTTTTTAATATAAACTAGATAATGTCCTGGGTCATATGATTGCATGTGGCAATAAAATATTGCCGCAGGGACAACTTTGAACGAACATAAATCTCGATGTTGGCTTTAAAACCACAACAACTTTTATCCATGTCGGACCCATTCTCGTACCCAGAGCCCTTCTTACGCGCGATGCGACGAGGGGTTCTGGCCAAATCCATAACCGGATACCATAAAAACATAGTAAGAAAACAATGTCCGGTGTTAGAACTCAGCCAATCAGATGCCAGTTCGGATATGGATTTGGCCAGAGCCCCTCGTTGCACCGCGCATAAGAAGGGCTCTGGGTACGAGAATGTGACGGACCGATCAGCAACCTTGTTCCCAGGCTCTTCCCTCTTTTCCGATCAGCGCAATAGAAACCGTCGCAAAGTTAATAGTATTAAATTGCGAAAATACTCATTGGCGTACCGGCCACGGGTAACAAGGCCTATAGTTGAACAGATTCTATAAGTTGTGATATTCCACAAATATGATGATAATAACTTCGAAAGATTACCATATCACCATGATGATTTTCAGTTCAAAGTTTCAGTGGCAAAACTTTCATTTGAAATTTTCAGTGGCTGCTCTTGATGAAATTATGCACTCCTCATGAGGGTATATATGTGTGACTTTAACTATGTGTGACCCAGTTTTACTATGTGTGATCCAGTGTGTGACCCAGTGTTACTGTTTGTGACCCCGTATTACTATTTGTGACCATTTGTGACCCAGTGTTACTGTTTATGACCATTTGTGACCCAGTGTTACTGTTTGTGACCCCGTATTACTATTTGTGACCATTTGTGACCCAGTGTTACTGTTTATGACCATTTGTGACCCAGTGTTACTGTTTGTGACCATTTGTGACCCAGTATTACTATTTGTGACCATTTGTGACCCAGTGTTACTGTTTATGACCATTTGTGACCCAGTGTTACTGTTTGTGACCATTTGTGACCCAGTGTTACTGTTTGTGACCATTTGTCACAATTTTTCGGTTGTGATTACAGGAAAATATATCGTGCATGGTATAACTTGTGCAGTACACTGAAGAAAACATCTCGTATTTCATGGTTCATGTCAAGGATTTGTGTCAAGTTTTGATACATAGGTAACTCAACTTGTCAAGAGGAGAGCACTGCCGCTGAATGGGATGAATTTATAAAAATACTCATCTATACAGTAATTTAAAAAGAACCCATGTACCTCATCTGTGATTTGGTCTCCACGCTCTTGCATGGACATGATCTCAGCCCTCATACGATCTTCGTCACTCATTTTGAATCACTTTAAGAACTGAAAAAATTAATGAACTGACCTATAACAGAGAAAGATCATCTATCAGGACACATCATGGATAATTGCCAGAGGCAAAGCTGCAAAATTACTGGTCAAAAGTGGGGGGGGGGGGGGGGCCCCCAATGCCTCCCGGTTCCACGACCTCTGTGTTCCATTAACATTAAACTCTATCATCAGTAATGAGAAACCTCTTCCATTTAGTGAACTTTTGAGTTTGTGGCAATTAAATAACATAATACACCAACAACCTCGTACCCAGATTCTCAATCTTCTCTCCTACCTCACTTGAATTGAGACCCTGGTATCAGCTGGTCATGTGACTCATCATATTTTGGCAGATTTGCTCAATGGTTTTGGGGAAAGTATAGTAATTAACTGAGATGTTTTGTTTTGTAATGTTATTTTAACAATATTAATGTTTACTACAATATCTACTTACTATACTTCGCCTAAAACAATTAAGCAAATCTGCCAAAATATGACGGGTCATGTGACCAGCCAATACCAGGGTCTCAATTCAAGCGAGGTAGGAGCGAAGATTGAGAACCTGGGTACGAGATTGAAAACACCAAAAGCATGTTTTATTTTGAGAATATGGATTCCAGATTTGCAGTTTCGATACCAGGTTAAGAAATGCTGGTACTCACAATGGATTCCAGGAAATAATTCCAACCTCAAACCCTGCAATGTGGTTTGTCCGAAAATGCTGACCAAAGCCTTGAGACTGAATATATACTGTATGACAGTCATATGTTTTAATATTAACCCATTAAGTTGCAATACACCCTACTTTATTATTCTACTCTGTCTAACACCAGACAATTTTACTTGTCAAGGTGAGAATGCTCGTACTCAATGGATTAATCATAGTATCTGCCCATGTGTCTAGTTAACCCATTAAGTTGCATTGCACCCAATGTACCCTCTTTATCATTCTACTCTGTCTAACACCAGATGATTTTACTCATCAAGGGGAAAGCTCTGGCATTCAATGGGATCTACAAAATACACATTGTTTTAGACAAAAAAAAACCTGAAAAGAATGTCCCCATCTAAACTAAGCCCACTTTAATCCAGGAATGTCATTGTGCCCAATCAACAGGTGTTATTCACTAATGAGGGGGTATTGCTGGGATTCAAAGGCCAATGGCAGCAGAATGGGCTAGGGGGCTATAGCCGTAGGTGTAAATAACAACTGTTCCGTCAGAAGTGTAGCCACAGGGAGGTGAGGGGGGATGGGTGGTCTGGAGCAACCCACAATTTCTTCAAATCAATTTTGTAATTCTTTCAAAATTGAAGAGAAACTTGGGGGGCGGGGGCATAACCTCTTAACTTTATCACCTATGACAGAAATTATACCAAATCTCTGGCTTTCAGATTATCATAAAATGTGTTCGCAGACCCAAAAAATAGAAACCTTTTCCGGGGGATCATGCCCCCAAGATTGTTTGGGCCTGGCTTATAACACCTCTTGGCTCAGTGGGATCTGATGCAATGGCTCATAATAAGCAGACACCGAAACCTTTCGGCTACTGAACATGGAAAATATTGTGTCAGATATCGAGTGTCAGATAAATGACGTTTACATTTTGCGATCAAGTTGTCAGACGAATAAACTTACGTTCTTTTAATAAATTACTATACCATATTATGTCTGTCAACAATGTTCACCAACAAATATGACAGTATATATTAAAAAGTCTTCGTATATTTGTAGTATATTTTGATAAAACACACAAGTCGAGGCATTTCTTCAGTCTGTCTAGCCACGGTATTACAATTGCATATTAATACATGCATTATTATGCTCAATATGTTCGCTAAAAATTTTATTATCTAAGTATAATATGGCACCATAAAAACTATTTTACCTTACCCTTGGCTTTCTTTGCTAGTTTTTCATCGCAAAAAATAAAAAATCAATATTTTTGAAGGCAAAAATGCAATCGGAAGTTTCTGTTCTGTATTTTTATTTGCGTAAACACCCGCATATGAGCCCGGTACCATGCCAAACAGCGGATTCAATGCTAAGTACTTCATGTTTGAAATGTTTACCATCGATCGTTTGCGTCCGATTTGTCAAGTAAAAACGATATCAGACTTATCAGATAACGACAGACTTAAAAGTGATATCAGACTTATCAGATAACGACATGATAAACCGCAGTCGAATATCTCTGCTCTTTACGGTTATCTCTCTAACACAGATACTTATTTAATACACAGACCGTTCCAATACAGCCACCTCTCTAGAACAGACGCCTCGTTAAGGCCGTTTTCCACTAGGCGAATTTTTTCGCGCGACGCGAAGCGAAAACCGAAATCCGGCAACGTGATTGGTCGGCGAAAAAATTCGCGGCGAAAAAGTAGGATCGCTTCCTACTTTTTATCTGTTCGCGCGAATAAATTCGCCTAGTGGAAAACGGGCTTTAAGCCCGTTTTCCACTAGGCGAATTTATTCGCGCGAACAGATAAAAAGTAGGAAGCGATCCTACTTTTTCGCCGCGAATTTTTTCGCCGACCAATCACGTTGCCGGATTTCGGTTTTCGCTTCGCGTCGCGCGAAAAAATTCGCCTAGTGGAAAACGGCCTTTAATAATACCGCTCTAGATCTTAGGAAACTCCGAAACTGTCTGTGTCAAAATTATCTGTGTCCACTTGTGTCTGGAAAGTCACGGCAAAGGCGACACTGTCAGTTAGTCACTGAAAATAGTAACACTTAAATCTGTCAGTGGAAAACTGACATCATCGTTGTGACCAATATATAATCTTTAGATACAAACGAAGCCGATTTTTCAACGGAGTCAACTGTTTATTAGGCAAAGCCAAAGGGTAAAGTTGATTGAAACCAGGGACGCCGGAACGATAAAAAGGCAAAGGGGGCCAAACGCACACCAAAGGGCACCTCGATCTATAGACACCGGTGAAGATATAAACCTACAATTAATATACAGTATGTTGACTTGCCAATGAAAGCAAACGCACTTAATCAGGTCACATTCAAGATCACACTGGAAATGTGATTTATCAGGTAGTATTTTACAACTCAAAGGGCACTTCTGCCCCCTTGCCCCTCCTAGCAAAAGACAAGAGGGGCAGCTGTCCCTCCTGCCCCCCCCCCCCCCCCCAGTTCCGGCGTCCCTGATTGAAACACCATCACCAACTTTCTCCACTTATCCAAAATTTTCCGAATATACCAACGTCCGAAACTTTGACAATTTCCGATAACGTTGCCAATTTTCCAAAAATTTCCGACAACATTCACAATTTCCCGACGGGTCTCGACAATAGGGGGGGGGGGGCCATGCCCCCCCCCCCCCCCCCCCCCCCCC